TTGCTTTGTTTTTGTTAATCTTCACCCAAGGATATTTTTCCATTGAATTTTAGAGAGAGTGAAGGGAAAGGGAGAGACACATTGACTGGTTGCTTCCTGCACATGCTTTGTTAGGTACTGGGGATCAAGCCAGCAACTGAGGTACATGCCCTTGACTAGAATCTAACCTGGGACCCTTCAGTCCAAGGGCTAATGCTTAATCCACTGAGCAAAACAGGCTGTAGCTTAATTCATTTACTTTTAATCTATATGTGTCTTTATATTTAAAGTGGGTTTTGTTTTTGATTCACCCTCATAATCTATCTTTTAATTGGTGCATTTATGCCACTGACTTTCAGAGTGCTTACTGATAGAGTTACTGCATATCTGGCAGTTTCTGGGACTTGTGGGGCCAGCATGCCTGCAGCCTGGGGCTGGATCGGGTCCCAGGCGGCTGACAGGAGGCCCCTGGGGCTTCAGGGGCCAGCAAGCCTGCGGCTGGGACTGAATCGGGTCCCAGGTGTCAGGCAGGCGGCTCTTGGGGCTTGCTGGGCCGGCGTGCCTGTGGCTGGGACCCGATTCGGTCCCGGGTGGCAGGCAAGTGGCTTCTGGTGTCGGGGCCTGGATGGCAGCTCGTGCTGGAGGCTTGCACTGCCCCACCTTGCCTGCAGTATGCAAATTAGCCACCATCTTTGTTGGTGGTTAATTTGCATATCTCGCTGATTAGCCAATGGGAGGCGTAGCGAAGGTACAGTCAATTACCATGTTTGGCTATTATTAGATAGGATGGAGATATATATATATATTTAACCCAAAGACATGTCTCATAGATTATTGTGAGTACATCATGTATGGATTTCCTCTTATGAACAGAAATGATTAAATAACTTATGCTCAATCATTATCCAAGTTGTATTTGTGAAATATTGACCAACCGCTGAACACTAATGCTGACAAGTGCAGATGTGCTGATAAGATCTAGTAAATGTGTATGGAAGGGTATTTTTAGACTTCCTTCCCTCACTCTCCCCCTCCAAAAAAAAATACCAAAGGTGAAATTCAGAAGCTTTACTCCTTGCATAGTCTGAGAGTATAATTTCCAGGTCAAATATCAGCACTAAGACTATAGAAACTCTTAATGATGAATTGATGGTTGTCTTCTATTGATTTCAGAATGCCACTCAGACCCTGCTCCTTAAGATATTTGTAAAATAATTTTTATGGTTTCCGTATAACATCTAGGCATGCCAGAACATCTTTCTCCACCATTTCTGCTTTATAGGACAACAATCCTAATAAGACACATTTCATAAGAGTATTCCATCCTACTACAGGTAAGGGGGAAGGATACAATAATTTTTCTGTTTTTTTAAACTTTATTTTGGGTCTTAATTTTATGGACTGCTTAATTTGATTAGCCTTATATAGGTAGAGAGGGCAAGGGGCTAGACATCACAAGTCCGAAGAACTTTGTTTTCTCCATTTTTCCTTGGATGTAATCATCAAAAACAGTGCTGTGGGAGCATAAAGAAGGAAGTCTAATATAATCCTGTTTGTTTGTGGGAAAGGGAATAATAAAATGGCTATCCCTAAACTTACCTTAAATTCATGGAGACTTAAGGATTAAAGAAATGCAAAAGTAGCAGGAATAATAATATTCACTACTTCTGATGTTTTCTTTCATCTAGTGGTTATTCAATCACTGTATCCCAGGCGGCTCCTATTTGTTCTTTATAATCTCTTCCCCCAGATCTATGGGAAAAAATTAAACTACTTGCTGAGGTGACAGAGGCCCTGGAGATGTTGAACCATGTACTTAGGGCATGGGAAGACTCATAAGTCTATATATGGAGAAGATAGTGTAGGGCATAAGGTTGGGTAACTTTGTGTGGTCTCATTCTGTTTGTGTTCTGAACGGTGGCCTTTTCCTTTAGGGAGACTTTCTCCCTTTCTCATGGTCACAGCGAGGTTGTCAGCCATTGTCTTCATTTCCCTAGGGATGGTCATCTAACACAGTCCTCAAAATATTCTAGTGCCCCCGACTGCTGATAATTGTTATTGGTCCATTGACAAGTAGCCCAAATACCTTCAATTCTATGGTGTTCTGAGGTTGGCAAACTGTTTGCTAGGAGTAAGACATTCTATTCCCTTTAGGACAAGTTACTTGAGTGATAGGAAGCTGGCATTGCCAATTGTCATTGCCACTGTGATGTGGATAGAGACTGTATATACAATGAACCCAAGTGGAGACAGGAAAGATTTTGGTAGCACTGAGATCCTTGTTCCAATCCTTGAAGTTCTTTTACCCATTCTGAGCTACTCCCACATCCTCCCCAGCTTCAGGAATCAGAACATTTCCATTTTTCATAAATGTATTGCATTAGGTTACTGCCAGTGAGAAAAATCCAGTATTTAAGAAATAAGCAGATATAGAAGTGTCTACAAAAGATATTGCCATACATTTCTAAAACTTTAGATTTTAATGAGTCCTGGCCATATCAAAGGGGTGAGTTCCAGGCTGCTCCTTATCCTAACTATAGAAACCACCTCTGGGAGACAGAGAAAAGTAATGCAATAGAAAGCACAGGACTTCACAGACAGAGCCCAGAAAGGGAGGGGAAGATAAGAGTGAGTATCCCTGTACAGAGGTAGAAAAGAGAGTGAAAAATGACTAGCTGGTGTGGCTCAGTGGTTGAGCATTGACCTATGAACCAGGAGGTCACAGTTAGATTCTTAGCCAGGGCACATGCCTGGGTTGCGTGTTCGATCCCCAGTAGGGGGTGTGCAGGAGGCAGCCGATGGATGATTTTCTCATTATTGATGTTTCTGTCTCTCCCTCTCCTTTCTTCCATAAAAACATATCTTTAAAAAATAAGACTTTAAAAGAAATAGTGCAAAGAGATAGCAACAGTTTAGGATTTGGATATAATTAACCAAAAGTAGCACTGGAGAGTGTTTGAATTATAAATTTCTCATACTTTAGGCTATTGTTTTTTTTCCTCTATACAAAATATATCATCACATAATTATTTTCCTAAAATAAAAATCCCTTCTGAAACACGAGGGCCATCATTTCCGCAAGAAGTTTGATTTTTTACAATTACTATTATCTTTTGCCTGTGCTAGAGCTAACTGATTTTGCCTTTGTGCCAGAAATTCTTTTAGCCTTAGGGATAGATACATAATGAGCATATCTCTACTAAAATGAAACTGAGGTCTCACATTTTAAAATGAATGTTTCTAATACATAGAAATAAGCTCAGTTAGGGCTGAGATTTCCCAAGAGGTCTTAACAATACAGAGAATTTAAATATTAAAGTATTATAATTTTTGCATATATTAACAATTGCAGAGCAGATCTGGTGTTGTTCAAAGGAATTGGACTTCAAAATTTCTAAGTTTCAATTATTTTCATCTGAAACAACAGGATAATAAAGTTGTGTTTGTTTTTTTTTAACCACCCGGAGTTCACGTATTCCCCAAACCATTGACGCCATCTCTTTATATTGTCACACTTCATATATTGTGCACCCACTTTGCCAAGGTAGAAAATAAGAAAAAAATATGTTTCCCAGATTCTCTTTTAGCAGTCCTATGGTTTAATGTTAGCAAAGTTATTTGACTTTCTAAAATGTGGATATGGGAGGATTATCTGCAAGCAGGTGGCAAAGATATCTGCCCCTTCTGGAGTAGCCCCATGCCTACAGCGTGGTCAGTCCTGAGCAGCAGCTGCCAACAGCCCTGCAGTGTGGGGGGCAGCTTTGCTGAGTACTCTGTCCTGACTGTAACATCCATGCCTGACTTCCCCGGCCATCGCAGGCTCCATGAGATATGACACAAACCACTAGGTGCTTAAATTGATAAGAGTGAAGTCAGTTGTTCCAATTAAGAACTGATAACTGTAGGCTTAAAGTTTTAAAAAAAGAAAGAATACATATAAAAATGCTCATTACACCTGTATGTACTCTATAACTGAAAGGCTGTTATTTTCATCATGATTATTACATGTCCTTAAATAATTACTATAATTTTGTTTCTTGTGATTCTTAAAAGGAAGCAAAATACACATATATTTTATAAAAATCCAATTATGCTAGGTTCTTAGCCTTTTTTCTCTCTACCATTTCCTTTTGTTATAATGGATAATTTATAATGGATATTACTGGGGACAGCGATAGGACACATTTATCCCAAAGATTTTAAGTGTCCTGTCTAAAACTGTCCAATAAAATGAGGAACAAAGAAGGCCATGAGCTCATAATGCTTTCAGCTAACTATGAAAGTGAGAAGGGCCAGAGGGACTCTGACAAGCTCATGCACCTTAAATTCAGCACCACTCTATGCTCCTTCCTAAGAGGATGCCTAAATAGCACCAGACAATGGAGATGCCTAGTGGTAGGATGCACTGATACAGAAACATCATGGAAACGAGAACAATCACCTCCCAGAGGAATCAGCCAGGGACACGCATTGTCACTCCTTGCAGGACAGAAAACACACAAGAACAGCAACAGCAGTGGTGGCAGTACCTTGTCAAGTAACATAATACAAACAGAATGAATGGAATTTGTGATTCTCAATAGAGTATCTTAGTCATGTTTCAAGAAAGTTATACTGACGAGGGACTATCTAAGGCTTAAAATGAAAAAATAATATTTCTGGAAGTGTTCTTTGTTCCCATGTGAAATAACATTAACTTGTCCTTCAAATCTCGAACTCATTAAATAAAAGATTATTGCATCCATTGCCCTGCCCTGCCCTGTCCACCCTCCCTCACATTATATTGCAGACAGTTTCTCTATTGCAAAACTATTCTCTGCTTTTCTTTCCCTGTTTCCAACTGGTGTCTGCTTTCAGAGGGGGAACTACCGCTTGTTTTCTTTTTGCAAGGAGAAAGCTCGTGGAAATTACATGGGATCTCTGAAGTTAAAGTGCCATCTTGTGCCAAAGGAAAGCATCTCAATATTGACTTTTAAAAATCATTAGCAAGATACATGACCATTTTCATCTAACAGAAATCTATCAAATGCATATAAAACTCTCAATATGAAATCGCTTACACCTGAGCCTACTAGTATAAATATATACCCAGCTTTGTTTTATGTTGTCAGCAATGTCACACTACGCTTTACTTGGGAGCTTAAAACATGCACTCTGCGTGCATGCTGCTGCATCCTGCCTCCCATTACTTCAGGATGATCAGCATAAAATGGATGCAACGACCTCATTCCCTCATACAACAGTAAAGATTGTTTAAGACTTACGTAATAGTTCCTCAGTTCTTTCAGGACCAAGGGCAAACCTCAGTCTCTCTAATAAAGTTGCACGGACTGTACCAATTATGCCAGTTGGAACTGATCCATTCTATTTCAAGCATTTCAATGGCAGCAAATCTCCACGCATGGCACCCAGGAGGGAAGGCCAATGCCAGCGCGCGCTCCGCTGCCGCGTGCAGTCAGCGGTCACAGGAATTCTGTGCAGCAGACAAAACGGTTTCCTGCGTTCAGCCTGACGGCTTCCAAGAGCTGTCTCAGGGGACTGGCAAGAGGTTTTATCATCCTGTTCATGCTGACAGCGCCGTGATGCTACCAGTTAGCACATAGGATCATCTTCAACTTAGAATTATTTAAATTAATAATCTATAGGTGGAAATGTTGTTGTTTTTTTTAAAATGAAGAATCTAGACTGCATTTTTAAAGTGCATCAAGTAACATAAGCCATGAAATCATAACGCAAAACACAGTCAACCATCTGGAATGAGAAAATATATCTCCCATATAACCTTAACCCTGATGAAAGAAAAACAGTTACTAAAGTAGACACGCTAGTAGTCGGACTAGTCTGAATGTGAATTCAAACAGAATTCCAGGAGAGCCGGATTTGGGAGGCATGGACTTGATAGATTCTAAGATAATTGAGAGCAGTTTGGTGTCCAAAATAAGGCTAAAATAATTCAAGGGATCAGTTAAATAATTCTTTCTACTCTTGAAAAATATCCCACAGAGGATGAATATATATAAGATTCTTCCACTCAACAATATGCTGTCTCGGTCTTTATTTTCCTACTCAAATTTTGTAACATTTAAACTCTTTGGAGTAGCATTTATTTTGTCTATAACAGTGTTCTTGGAAAGACCATGAAAAGGAGCCATCATATAGAGAAATATATATTCTTGACTTTTTTTTTGGTCATTTTTGGTACATGAAGAAATAACATTGTTTGCTGAGTTTCTAAATAGTCTGGCCTTACATCTGATTCTGCAGTTTGCAATGGAAGTTGTTAGAGTACATGATAAGACTTACTAGTATTAATCTCTTCTAAAATAGTAATGATATGGTATCTAATTTTATCCTTTTGTTTATAGATTTATCAGATAACTAATTTTTATAATTAATTCTTTTTTATTAAGTACTTAGTTTATGTCTACTATTTGGCTGAGTGTTTTTTTTTAATTATCTAATTGAATCTTCATAAATACTAAAGCTCCGCACAGTAAAGCAAATTTTCCCAAATTAACAATCTAATTCGCATTGAATGTGGCGTGTAGCTTAATTTTTACATCTGCTAAAACCATACTCTCAAGACAACTTTGAACAACTATGACACACACACAATTTTTTTCTTAATTTAATGACCATGAAAATATTACTTTGTTTAAAAGCACTGTAGCATTTCAATAAACACAATATGCTTATATGGCATATGTTTGAGTAATAGAAAATAAATACTCATAGTGGATTTTGTTCAATGTCCTTCCCATAAATTCATGGAGTGGAATGCTATATTAGGTTCTCCTGCTAGATATCACAGAGTCTCAACCCATGAGGAAAGTTTTGTGGCATCAGCTGTCCCAGAGCCTCTCAATATTACTCTGGTCCATTGCAAAATGGCTTTCCATTGGGTTTGGCTGTTTCCTCTCACATAGTCCAATGGTTACAGTCGAGACTGTGGCTGGAGGGGCAATATTAGTGATATGCAAGACTCCCAGGGCAGTGGTGGAAACATTCTCATCTTGTCAAAGACCCTTTTCTTGTTTCCCCTTTGTGGCTCCACATTTTTTTGTTTCTCTCCTTTGGGGGAGTGACATGGTGAGAGGTAAGAGTGGAGATGAAGTGCATTGTTTCACAACTACAAGATCTATGGTCTACCAGTCTTGTAAAAGTAAAAAAAAAAATCCATTGAAGATTTATATGCAGACACACAGGCACTGCTGTGTGGTCCTCCAGGAGACATGCAACTTGTTACAGACTACACAGAGCGCAGTGGATGAGGCAAGAGTCTGAGGGTCATATCCACCTCAAGTCTCTGTTTGACTTCAGGTCACTGAAATCCACAACAAAGTCTGGTGGCAGCTTGATATTTTAGTGAACAAAAAGTATGTCTGTTTATTACCGTCAATCACTCTCCTTTATCTTTTTCCATTTTCCCTCACTTTTTTTTGGATTCATCAGTTGCATCAGGGGACAGGACACTTTGGACGACATTCAAATCTATAGAGCCACTAAAGACAACATTGATTTTTTTATAGCCAGATTTCCCTATTTTAAAAAGTGAGGAAAAGCCCTCTCTTACTCTTACTCTCTCCCTCTGTGTACTTAAACACACACACACATACACACACACACACACACACACACACTGGACTAGAAAACCAAACAGTGGGATGATTGGTCGCTGATTTGTACAAGGTAGGGAGAAGGGCATATAATTCAGTTCAATTCAATTCTATTCAAAACCACTGACAATATAACATATTGAATGTCTGGTTATGG